TGCAGCCACCCACACGCCCCTCCCCTGTCGCCCGGTTCCCCCACAGCTCAGCGAGGGGGAATGCTCCCCACCAGACGGCCGGCATCGTTCAGAGGGACGCGGAGACCGGCGCAGCAGGCACGAGATCCGCCACGGCCGCAGCGCCTCGCGCGGCAGGGTGCGCAGCCGCTCGCGGTCGAGGGCGCCAAGGGAGGGAGGCAAGGGCGGCGGCGGCGGCCGCGGCGGCGAGCCGCGCCGCCCGACGCCGCCCCGACGCGACAGGGGCCGCAGCGGCAGCGCGAGCGACCGCCGCCGCAGCGCCTCGCGCGGCAGGGTGCGCAGCCGCTCGCGGTCAAGGGCGCCAAGGGAGGGAGGCAAGGGCGGCGGCGGCGGCGGCACGGGGGCGACGCCGCAAGAAGGGCGCACCGGCGGCAGCGTTGCGGCGGAGTACGAAGTGGACAGGTACCGCGCGAGAATCAGCAACCTCCGCACTGAGATGCTCATGAAGCGGATTGCAAAAGAAAAGGCGCGGCATTGACAGGTCTTTGCTTCGTTGCTGGCTGTGGATTTGGTGTTATCAGTCCTCCGCCGGTAGTTGGGGGGAGAGCCGCAGCGAGCACGTGTATTATGCACCATCCCGCCCGCGACTACTGCATTGCGGTCCATCCCTTGCACATGGCCGCACTCCGCCAGCAGGCAGGCCAATACCGCACTTCACTGCTGGCCCCCTACTGATGACAGAGGGCAAGTGTCTGGCGCGTGCCTGATGACGAAACTGCCAATCGGCTCAGAATCCAGCAACAGCAACCTGCACTCCATGCCAGTGCACAAACATCGGCGTGATGCCATTAGTCATCAGCCATGCACGCGAACGAGTATCATTGATTGCGTACTGATTGGGTGCATGAAGCGCACCAGAAATAGTGGACAGAGAGCGCCGTAGATTTGTGCCGGCCAGGGGGCAGGGGGGGTGCCGGATATCGCTAGAGGAGTGCATGCACTACACACAGCCATGCCTGTGATTCTGTCGCAGTAGCCGCATGAGGGTGCTGTGAATGGTAAATACACCAGCCACTACTGCACTTGACAGCCCTGCATGCGCATCCCTCCCATGCCCTGACTCGTGGTGCAGTTGAGCAGCAGTGGTGCCGGTGACGACCAGCCTACTGTCGCGCCAGTAAGGTAGGGGTGGCATGAAATACAACTTATTTAGCGCAGCACACCCGTCTCCCTTGTTGAAAGTGCATCGCAGGGGTCCCTGCCGGTCGATCACTAATACACACTTGTCACCGAACAGTCCGGGATGCTCTGATGCGATTAAGTGCTCGTACACGCATCCATCAATTATATTGACACATTATTCATATTATCATCCTCTATATCACGCCCGGACTGCCCCGCCCGAATAGACCCGCCTCGAGTCAAGATCACACCCCCGCACTGACAAAGAGCCTGCTAGAGCCGGAACTGGATCTGGTGGAGCGTTATTCGCTGGAACTGGAACTGGGAGGAGCTGGCACTGGAACTGAAAGGAACTGGAACTGGAACTGAAAGGAGCTGGAACTAGGACTGGGAGGAGCTGGAACTGGAACTGAAAGGAGCTGGAACTGGAACTGAAAGGAGCTGGAGCTGGAACTGGGAGGAGCCGGCCCGCTCTCCTCGCGCCTTCGAAAACGGTCTCTGCCTCTCCTCGCTGCCCCGCGGCTGCCCCGACGCGCGGAACTGGTGCTCTGAAGGGATACGATTCTATTAGACACAACCAGCGCACTCGGACTGCGCCACCACCGTGGCGCCTGGAGCGCTGCGGGCACTCACACACTGCTCCTGGTCTGTTTGCATCCCCGTGACGCTGCTGAACTCGCAAATGCTCGGAGCTAACACAGCACCGTATTCTCGCTCACACACACACGCATGTGCTTGGCGCAAGCTACGGGTTGATGCGACGCCGCGGATCATCGGCGGCACCGGCGAGCCGCTGTTTGAGGCGGCCGCAGAGGTGCGAATGGAGGGCACTGTGATGCACATCAAAAACACGGCGAGGGCAGTGCAGGGCGTGGCAGCCAGGCGCGGGACCTTGGAAAAGGAAGGCGTGCGGCGCGCTGACCAGTGGGCAACCGCAGCGCGCACAGTCGGGGTTGCGTGTGCGCGCGCGCCGAGCGGGACACTCCGCTCTACGGTTGCGTGCGCGCAAAGCGCGCCGAGCGCCCGCCTCGGATCTGCTTACAGAATGCCAAGCGCCCCCCACCCCTTTCAGGACACACGCATACACGCACGCAGGCAGCATATGCACGATCGATTGAACAACCAACCAAACGGCGCAGCCAACCAAACGGCGGCCACCACCACATGATCGCACCTTCGAACCCCGACAGCCACGGTCAAACATCAGACCCGACCCATGCCATCGCAACACATCACATGCTGCTCTAATGCATCCACCACACAAGCGCGTGTGTGCATGCGAGATGAGCTTCACAGCTGACTGACAGAGATGCCGACCGAACACACGCTGTGTATGGTTCACCCATGACTGATCACAGAAATTTGGCGGCGCACATATGCGGCGCTGCCATATAAGGCGTGAGGAAAGCGGCGGCAATGTTGCAAACCAGCCACACTCAACAGTTTCAGTCTGATTGCTCAAGCAGCCCTAGAGGAAAGCGTACGACCGAAAGCCAGCTGCCACGTAGCTGCACGCACCAACAGCATAGTTGGTTGGCTGCTTGTGCCGGCATGCAAACGGTGTCAAAGGCAAAAACGAGCTTGAACCTAAAGCCGGGTGCCCCAAAAGCACTGTTTAAATTCAATAGAGCTGCAGTCGCAGGCGCTGGGCTCAGCGATCCATCCGGTAGGGGAGTGATCTCGCCCGCGTGGCGAGGTTGCGCAGCGCTTGCAGCCGGCATCAATAACCAATGTTGATGTAGATCAGCGCAGCATTGCCAGAATTCAAATGAGCGCGGAGTACGAACAACACAAAAACACAAAGTTGGTGGGATGTTGAATGCATAGCACCTCAACAAGCAGCTGGTTGGGTGGGGGGAAAGCACAACGCAGCACCTTGGCAGCAGCTGCCGCCGCGACACGAGTAATGAATCTACCGTAAAGTATGTAGAGCTACAGAAGTATCAGTAGACTTTGTTGTTTTATATTGTTTTGATGAGCCAGCAGCCTGCACCAGGTTGCACAACACTGGCAGCCAGAAGCACCCCACGCGCACGAATTGTGACGTATCGGTTAGAGCTAAGTATTGCAGTCGTATCACATGGTCCAAAGGAGTCCTGACATCGGTAAGTTCACACATATGCACACACAAACACCGCACATCTTCATGGGAACACTGCCTCTTTTTGACCTCCGCCCCCCCCCCCCCGCTTCCGTCGCCCCAAGCCGACGAGCTACCGAGCACCGTCTGATCTCATTTTATAGGGCGCGCGTATGAAAAAACACTAGTGGCTCTGCATACCTGTAACTCGATTAGTTGATAGCCGTGCCGCGTCGTTTTGTGGCTCAACAATGCCCCTTTTCAAACGCCAAGACAGACTCGTCTGTCGCCGGACTCTTTGCACATGCAACACCTCAGCGTCAAGTGCTGATGTCTGTGCGTTCTGTGCTGCAAGATGGGGTGCGGCGCAAGACGGCAAAGCACTGGGATATGCAGTGAGCTGTTGGACGGCCTAGTGCTCCCGGTGACGGCCGACGCTGACCTGGATTGGGCGACACTCTGGGTGCGGATGCTTACCATTCTCTCTCTCTCTGTGTGTGGACGTGTGTGTGTGTGTGTG